CTACTACTATTACTACTACTACTACTACTACTACTACTACTACTACGACTACTACTATTACTTTTTTACGGCGACTACTGCTACTACCTCTTCTACTACTACTACTACTACTACTTCTCCTTCTTCTATTACTACTACCACTACCACTACTACTACTACTACTACTACTACTTCTTCTACTACTGCTACCCAAGGCTACTACTACTACTGCTACGACTACGGCTACTACTACCACGACTACTACTTTTACTACTACTACTACTACTACTACTACTACTACTACTGCTGCTACTACTACTACCACTACGACTACTGCGTACTACTGCTACCCAAGGCGAATACTACTACTACTACTACTACTACTACTACTACTACTCCTACTACTACTACTACTACTACTACTACTACTACTACTACTGCTACGACTACGGCTACTGGCGGGCCCAGGCGGCCAGGTCGAGCAGGCGGTATGCTGAAGCGTTCATCCTGCATGGATCGTGAGGAAGTATCGAGCGACAGCGCGTTTCCAAAGTAAATCGTGGGATAGGCCAAAGCGCGAGCGTGATTCCTGAGTGTCGTGGGCACGGCGTCTGAATAAAATGTGAGAAAGTCCCACGCGTGAGCGCGATGTCTACGCACATTGTGCGAAAACTCCCCCGCGAGAGCACGATTTGGGAATATGTTGTGAGGAAGTGCCAGGCGGGATCCGCTGCTGCTGTAAACCGAGTGGCCAGGGGCGCACTGTGGTGTCACATCGCTTTCCCTTGTAAAAAACCTGGGTGCGAGGCCCGGGAGAATCATCTTTATTGCAAAAGATAAAATGTGACCCGGGAGATGGAGCAACAACGGTTATTCTCCAAAAATGAGAGCTCATCAAGAACAGCAACAACAACAACAACAATCCGCATTGCGGAAGCCCACTTCAGCCACGCACCTAGTGGCAGTGAATGACCGCTCGGGCCACCTCACTCTGATCTTCGCGCTCGGTGGTCGGATCTTGATTGGGGTCCCAGGCATCCTGAAGAGGCTGGAAAAGTTATAGCAAATCGCGTCCTGCGTTGACGCCCTGCCTCGTCCACCCTCCTCCTCCTCCTCCTCCTCCTCCTCCTGCTCCTCCTTCTCCTCCTCCTCCATCTCTTCCTCCTCCTACTCCTCCTCCTCCTCCTCCTCATCCTCATCCTCCTCCTCCCCCCATCCCTCACACGTCTTCCTCGAGGCTACGTCAATTCCTCCTCCTTCTCCGCATCCTGATGGTCCCCTTCCTGGCCGCATTCTCCTGCTCCTCCTCGTCCTCCTCCTCTTCTTCCTTCTCCTCCTCCTGCTTTGTTCCTTCTCCTCCTCATCATCGGCATCAGCATCATCATCAGCAGCATCATCATCATCAGCATCAGCATCAGCATCAGCATCAGCATCATCATCATCATCATCATCATCATCATCAGCATCATCATGCCTACTGCTCTACCGGATATGTGTTCTCATATTCGGCCAGGACATGAGCTCCAAAGAGCATCGATTGAGTCGGTCAGGATATGTCGGCCCAGCAGCTCGATAGATGCCAGCGCCTCGGCGCCATCGTCCAAGCCGTACGCAGGGCCGCTTCCCTGGGTGGATGCAAGCGCTGTCTCCAGTCTCCCGCCACGCCTTCTCCCCTCCGTGCCCGCCACATGGCAGCGGAGGTGTTGGCAGGCTGCCCGTGGAGTCCTCCCCCACCTCCACCTGGATGAAGTCCTCCTCCTCCCACCTCCCCCTCCTCCTCCTCCTCTCCCTCCTCCTCCTCCCCTTCCTCCTCCTCCTCCTCCTCCTCCTCCTCCTCCTCCTCCTCCTCCTCCTCCTCCTCCTCCTCCTCCCCCTCCTCATCCTCATCCTCATCCTCATCCTCATCCTCATCCTCCTCCTTGTCCTCCTCCTCCTCCTCCTCCTCATCATCATCATCGTCATCATCATCATCATCATCATCATCATCATCATCATCATCATCATCATCATCATCATCGTCGTCATCGTCATCATCATCACCATCATCATCATCATCATCATCATCAGCAGCATCATCATCATCGTCATCGTCATCATCGTCATCATCATCGTCATCATCATCAAAATCAGCATCATCATCGTCATTATCATCATCCCTCTCCCCCCCCTCCTCCTTCTTCCCCGAGCGATCGCCCCAGCAGGCTAACGTGAGGCGCGGTCGCCCGCTGGGCGGAGCGTCCAGCGGGGCGCAAGACACACGACGGGACGGGAGAGGTTCAGCTCGGCACGCCTCCGAGCGACGCAATGCGGCGGGCGGGTTAAGCCTCCTCCACAAGTTGTGCGTAGCAGAAATCAGGGTACGCCTGCACGAGACTCCCCGAAAAACGATGCAGAGGCGTCCATCGCCTCGTTGGCACAACTGGCCGGCGTGCCCCCCCCTCGCCCGGCGGGCAGGCCCCCAGATTGAGATCCGGAGGAAGCCCGACGAGGCTTACGGAGTCCTCGGGGCTGCCTCTGGGATCCAAACGAAGGCTTCCCTGAGGGACCCTACAGGATTTCATCGCGCGCGCTCATGAGTGGACTCCGCCCTCAGCGCCTCGAAGAGCCGCTTGATCAGGTCCGACGGGGCCTAGGACGAGGAAAGGTCCTTTCCAGAGCGTTCCAGAACGCTCTCAGAGCCTTCCGGAACGCTCTGAGAAGGCCGCGGCATTCCATACAGCCCTCAGAACAGCCGGATCTCAGAGATGCTCGACGTATCCGCACCCGTATCCGCACCCGAGGTGTGGGGGGGGGGGAGGAACCTACGTCGTCTCACTCGATCGGTCTCACTATCGATCTCAGAGATGCTCGATGCATCCGCACCCGATTGTCTTTTCGTCCTGGCCTCGTCTTACCCCTTCACTGCGGCAACGCGAGGCCCCCGCCGAGCGAGGCGCCGCCACCGCCGCCGCGCGGTGCCCGCGCCACCCGCGGCGCGAAGCTCCGGCCGCGCTCGCGGTGCCCAGTCGCGCAGCAGGGCCGCGGGGCGAGGCCCCCGCAGGCCAGTGGCGAAGTGAGGCCACCGCGGATGCCGCGTGGGAGTAAAGGCGACGAGGGGGACGACGACGACGACGACGACGACAACGACGACGACGACGACGACGACGACGACGACGACGACGAGGACGACGACGACGACGACGACGAGGACGAGGACGAGGACGAGGACGAGGACGAGGACGGGGACGAGGAGGAGGAGGAGGAGGAGGAGGAGGAGACGGAGGAGGAGGACGGGGAGGAGGAGGAGGAGGAGGAGGACGAGGAGGAGGAGGAGGAGGCAGGCGGAGGAGGAGGAGGAGGAGCAGGGGAGGAGGAGGAGAAGGAGGGGAAGGAGGAGACGCGGGGATACCTCGGGCGCAAGCGGGGCAGGTGCTGTCTAGGGGGGGGCTGCGATCCTGGCAGCGCGATCGCGCACTTAAGCATCCCGCTCTCCGTGTTCTCGGTAGGGAGTGGCTTGCGTGCCCGCGCCCTCTTGTGGATCACCTCCTCGTCCTCCCTGTATAACCCCTCCCCCGCGCTCTCTCGCGAGCGCGAAAGTGCGCGGGGGAGGGAGGGGGAGGAATGAAAGGCGAGAAGAGGGGAAGTGGGGAGGGGAAGGGGGACGGGAAAGCAGGGAGGAGGAACATAAGCATGATCAGGGGGAGGGGGAGGAGGAGGAGGAAGAGGAGGAGGAGGAGGAGGAGGAGGAAGATCATGAGGAGGAGGAGGAGGAGGAGGAGGCGGAGGATCAGGAGGAGGAGGAGGAGGAGGAGGAGCAGGAGCAGGAGCAGGAGCAGGAGTAGGCGGAAAAGGAGGAACATGAGGAAAAGGAGGCTAAGGAGGAAACGGACGGAAAATGAGGAAAAGTAGGAACAGGAGAACACGGAAGAAAAGGAGGAAAAGGAGGAAGAGGAGGAGGAGGAGGAGGAGGAGGAAATGGAGGAGGAGAAGGAGGAGAAGGAGGAGGATGAGGAGGCGGAGGAGGAAGATGAGGAGGAGGAGGAGGAGGAGAACGTGGAGGAGACGCGGGGATACCTCGGGCGCAAGCGTGGCAGGTGCTGTTTCGGGGGGGGGGCTGCGATCCCGGCAGCGCGACCGCGCATTTGAGCATCCCGCTCCCCTTCGGTCTCGGTAGGGGGTGGCTTGCGTGCGCACGCCCTCTTGCGGATCCCCTCCTCGTCCTCCTTCAACCCCCTCCCCCGCGCGCTCTCGCGAGCGCGAAAGTGCGCGGGGGAGGGAGGGGGAGGAATGAAAGGCACGAGGGGGAGGGAAGTGGGGAGGGGGGAGGCGGGAGGGGAGAGCAGGAAGGAGGAACATGAGCATGATCAGGGGGAGGAGCAGGAGGAGGAGGAGGAGGAGGAGGAGGAGCGGGGAGGAACAGGGGAATAGGAGGTGAGAGGAGGGAGGAGAGTTTAGCGCCTTTGGAGTGTGGACACGGGTTTGTTGCATGACTTGGCTGGTGACGGGTAGTGCGGCCTTGGTATTTGGCGCAGTGCGCAGAAGCAGGGGTGGATGGTGAGGTGGAAAGAGCGGGGTGGGGGGCGGGAAGGAGGAGTGAGGTCCCCGGGGGAAGAGACAGTGAGAGAGCGAGAGAGATATGGGGAGAGAGAGCGAGAGAGAGAGAGAGAATGAGATAATGAGAGGAGGATGAGAGAATGAGAGAATGAGAGGGACACACACACACACACACATGCGCGGGGTACTGGTGCCGCGGGTGCTGATGCCGTGCGCGCCTCACCCCGTCACCGCAGGGCCAGGGCGGGGCCTCGGGACGCGGGACCGCGGCGCAGCTCCCAAGACGCACGGGCTCATACTGCCGCGTGGCAGGTGGAGAAGAAGAGGCCCCATAGCCCGTCGCGCGCCAGAGGTCTGGGCGCCCCGCGAGATGAGGGGGCGAAGAAGCTTGCGGGAGGCACCCGCGGCCCGCCCCTGACGGCCTGGCCTCTGAACAGGGTGGTCCAGGAGGAGCTGTCCGCCGCCCCCCTCCTCTCGCGCGGGGAGAGGAAGCTCGGGCCCTCCTCGCGCGTGGTGCGGCTGCTGGACGTGCTCGTTCCGGACGGCCGCGAGACGTTCCAGGAGCCTCGCTTGATCCGCCTCCTCCTCCTCCTCATCCTACTTTCTCCTCCTCCTCCTCCTCCTCCTCCGCTGGCAGGGCCGCCCGTCTGAATTGGAGCTTGTTTACGATCGGTTTTGTTCCCGAGACTGACCGCCGAGAAGCCGAGTCGGCACTCATCCGCAGGCGGGCTCGGAGAGCTCTCGAGCAGTCGGCGTCGGTGGACCCCTGGGACGCGACTCGCCCTGAGCTCTCCGAGGTGCCCTTCGTCCCAGCGTTGTCCCGCGTCCTCCGCGTCTCCGCCCACGAGTGGCGGAAGATCGGGCCCAAGTTTGTTTGTCTGTGTTGCTCTCGTTTCGAAACGAGAGCGACTATCAAAGCTGCTGCTCTTTCGTCCTGCCTGCCCAGGCCCCTGGGTGACGGCATAGCCCCGCTGCGAGGCCCCCAGGAGATCGGAGGTTCGCCTCTCCACCTCTCCCACCGCCTCCAGTTCTGGGGGCGTTTCGGGCTCACCTTTTGCAGCGCCTGCGGCAAGACCGCTACGTGTGATCCCAGGTGGCTGGTCGGCAGGTGCTCACCGAGCCCCAAGGGGGATCAGAACCTCAAGAGAATTCGTGAAGGGCGCTACCCCCACCCTGGGGGCCCGCCCCGCCATGTTCGAGACACTGAGCTCGCCCGCCTCTCGCGGCCGCCCGTCGTGGAGTCGACGCAGGACAGCCGTGGGGAGGGGGGGGGCATCGAGTTCGGTTTCGTAATCGTTCTTCTTAAGAGTTCTGCTGTCTTTCTTGCTCGCATTCCTCGCATTCCTCCGCCTGCCTCATCCTCCTCCTCCTCCTACTTTCTCCTCCTCCTCCCTTCTCCCTCCTCCCTCCTCCACCTGAAAGGTTCTGAAAGCCTGAAGACCTGAAGATCCAAACAAACGTGACCATCCCCCCCCTGGGCCGGTCGGCCTCAGGGGGGGAAAGAAAATAGAACGCCAGGCGGAAGGCGCACCGGTGGGTCCTCCTCCTCCTCTTCCGCCTCCTCCTCCTCCTCCTCATCATCATCATCATCCTCCTATTCGTCCTCCTACTCCTCCTCCTTCTCATCATCAGCATCATCATCCGCATCATCAACATCAACATCAACATCAACATCATCATTAGCATCATCATTATCATCATCATCATCACCACCAGCAGCATCATCATCATCCTTTTCCTCCTCCTCCTCCTCCTTCTCCTTCTCCTCCTTCTCCTCCTTCTCCTCCTCCTCCCCCTCCTCCTCCTCCCCCTCCTCCTCCACAGTACTGTTTCTGGATGTGCAGCGAGAGTGATTCGAAGTAGCGCTGCGCGCCCAGTGCCTGGCGAGATCTAGAGACTCAGCGACGATCTGTACTTCGCATTCGTCGGTTGCATCAGCGAGTCGCTCTTCGAGGTCTTGAAAGAAGGCCTGCCAGGGCTGGCTGGGCGAGATACTCCTGACAGTGGCAGGTGGGGAATCTTCACCACCGAGGTCGGGAACCAGAATTTGATACGCAGTTGTTTCTGGTACTGGTGGGCCTGGCGGTCCGCAATAGGCAACCACAGGATTCGGCCACTTCCTGTGGTTCGAAGCCTCCGCGCGGCCGTCCGTCTCGTGCAGGGCAACGGTGAACGGACTGGTTCCATATGGCAGGCCGTTGATGCGGCCCGTAGCCTGTCTTCCATCGTCTTCACGGCTGTACTGCACGACGCATGTCCTGATGTGGATGAACCCTCGGCCTCTCTGCCAAGCGGTAGCGGCCTCGCAGTAACGGGCGTTGTTCTGCTCGTCGTCCGTGGTCTGCGTGACATTTTGCGGCTTCGTGGCCGTGTCAGCGAGCTTGACGACGAGATGGTTGATGCCCGGGTCGACGGCTGTGTCCGTCGAAGTAGGGGAGGGCGGAGGAGCAGACCGATCGACCCCGAGCTCTCGTCCCCCTCCACGATGGGGCAGCAGCTGGAGGGAAGAATCGGTTCGCTCTGCACCTCGCCCCACTACCTTTTCCTTGCAGTGAGAATCGGCGCAGAAGACGCTGGTGTCGGCGCAGACGTAGTGCGCAGCCTCGGTGGCAGATGGAGGCGTCGTAGACGTAGGTGGCAGACGCAGGCGTCGGGAGGCGGCAGCCTCCGTGGCCGATGCAGCTGTCTCCGCGAGGGCCTCGTGGGTGGGATAGGCCACGGTCGCGCCTGGGTGAGATTTTATGCGGTGACCCCCAACCCTTGTCAAATACGACGAGACAATCTAGTCTGGTCCTCCATGCAGTTATTGTACCGCGGCTGGCCTCAGCGCGCTGCCTGGTCGTGGCCTCCCGACTGCACCCAGGGTTTCCCAGGATGGTGGAGCCCCCCCTGGGCACAAGGGGCTCTCGGGCAGGGCTCTAGGCCGCCACGGCCGTACCAGCGGGCACGTATTTCTCCGCCTTCGGGTTCAGCTGGAACTCGGTAGTGGTGATGGCATCGACGTGCTCGACGGCGTCCTGGCTGCGGTTGCGCTCGTGGTCGCGTTGCCAGCGCCAGTCTCTCCAAGTACCCCAGCGTCCCCAACAGCCCCCGTACTCCTGGTTGTAATCATCGTAGCCATGCTTGTCAGTCTGGTTGGCGTCTGTCCCGCTGTTGCAGCTGATCTGGACGATAGCGATATCCTTAGGTGTGATAGGCAGGTTCTTGCGGCTCGCAAAGGCAATGCGGCGGCGTGCAGCCTGCTCAAGGCCTGGGTCATGACGACCATCTCCGCGGCTTGCGCGGATAAATCTCGATCGGTTGTCGGTCAGCTCGTAGCTCATGGTGTCCATGGCTCTTGCCGCGCGTGCCTGGCCGCTGGGGCGCTACCAGGCAGCGCCGACGGACACGGCGCTGGCGGGCGCTGCGCTTGGTCGCCGCCGCCGGCCCCCTCCCCGGTCGCAGGAGGGTGTTCCCGCATATGGCGACACTGGCTTGAGCGACAATGGCTAATGGCTGCGGGCCCTCCTCCACCTCTCTCTCCTCCACCTCCTACTCCTTCTTCTCCTCCTCCTCCTCCTCTGGGCCCCCGGTGGCCGGCGCCAAGGCCACGTGCTGCTGTGCCTCCGCAGCTGGTGGATCGGGGGCCGCAGCCGGCTGGGCCGTTTCAGGAGCCGAGGGCGGCATCGTTTCCTCATCTGCTGACGTGATGCCATCAGCTGGCTTCGCCTCCGCAGCGGGCGTGGGGGTAACCCGGGAGCGCCAGGTCCGCTTGGCAGGTTTCGCCGTTCACTCGGTCTGCATCCCGTAGCTGCGCTTGGCCTGACTATGTCATCGATCATGCTCTTCAGGCCCAAGAAGCAGAGGAGCTCCAGCATCAGTTTGTGTAGCCGCGTCTGCCTGCACATCGTAGATGTCAAACCTCGCGGCTGAGTCGCCGCCTGCGGACGGCCCTAGGACAACCAGAGGACCAGAACACACAGCCCAGGTAACCAGGTGCTCCACCTTGTCCTCGAACTTCTCCATAAATCCGTCGATACTGTCGCTCCAGTCGATCACCCGCAAGGCGCCCAGCAGCTGGCTGTCAAACGTCGCGGCTGAGTCACCGCCTGCGGGCGGCCTGGGCCAACCAGAGGACCAGAACACACAGCCCGGGTGACCAGGTGCGCCACTTTGTCCTCGAATTTCTTCGTGAAGTCGTCGAGCCTGTCGATCTTCCCAGCGATCATCCACAGGCACCCAGCAGCTGGCAGGTCCGATTGACGGCTTCTGTCCGGAAGCATAAACGGAAATCGTGGGATGACCAGAAGCTCATCCGAGCCATTCGAAACCTCATCGTGGACAAGCGCGGCGGCGACCGCTGGAATATGAAACAAACTCGTGGCAGCAATCTCGATGCGAAGGTCGGCGATGAACTTGATGATGGATGACCTGGAGAGCTTATTTCAAGCAGTGGCGAAGTGTCTTGGCTTGCCCGTAGGCCCACCAAAAAATGTTCTAAGAACCTTCTGTGGTTTGCACAAAATGTGATTGAAACCTTTTTATGGCTGAGACTGTCTTGTTTGATTCGAAGAACATTTCGTGGTAGGCCTATAGGAATGCCAGCACGGTCGGTCTCTGCTCAATTCTTCACCCAGCTCGAAACAGAATTGATTTTTCTGAGTTTTCTGCGCGTCGACGTTGAAAGACCGAGAGCCTTGCCGACACTCCCGAGTCCCAGCAGAGGACGGTTTAGCGCCTGGGTGAGCGCCCGTATGGTCTCGCGCTGCGCATGCTCCTCCTCTTCGCCCTCCTCCTCCTCCTCCTCCTCTTCCTGCTTCTCCTCCGCGCCCTCCCTCCTCCCCCCTTCTCCTTGTCCTCCTCGCCCTCCCGATCGCCTGGGCGAGCAGAAATACCGTTCTGCATTGCGCCCGGAGGGGCTCTGGAGGCTGGCCGGAAGAGGAACAAGAACAAGAATTGGACAACACGTGCACCGACGGAGACTCTTTTGGCCCAGGTTTCTGCGCGTTGCAATCTGCTGAGTGAGCCCGAGCCGGATGATGGGGAGATTTCCGCGCCTGTCTCTTCGGAGAAATTATGTGTACTCATTGCGGGCATTCGCGCCGAGATGAGCGGCCTGAGCCTTCAGATGTCCGTCGCAGCCGAGGCAGCGGCGGTCTGCACGTCCATAGGCCCAGCCGGCTAGGTTGTCTTGTCTCCCGTGTGTTTTCCTCCACGTGTGCGTCGCATGTGTGTGATGCCTTGTGCTATCACGCGTGTCATGCTCAGTGTATGTGATGTCAGAGTGCATCATGTTGGAACGATCTTCCCCTTGCTCCGCTGCTTCTGCTCTTGGCCCGCTCGCCCCCCTGCTTGCCAGTGTCGCTCCTCCTCCCCCTCCTCCTTCTCTTCCTCCTCTCATTTCACGAATTTCGAAGGTCGAGGAGGAGGAGGAGGAGGAGGAGGAGGAGGGGGATGACCTATAGGAAGGAGGATGCTCAGATGCTCTGTGCGCTCCACCATGAGGAGCATCGGAGGCATGCTTCCCCCCTGAGGGAGGCAGGAGGCATCCCTGGCTCATCCTCCTTTGCCTTATCATCATCCTCCCACGGCTCTTCATCCCCCTCCCCCTCTTCCTCCTCCTCCTCCTCCTCATCCTCCTCCTCAAGGAAGATGAGCAGGAGGAAGAGGAGGAGGTGTCTGCTCGAGGCGGGTCGGCTTCATCCACCTCGATCCTCGAAGAGCGAGCCTCTTTAGTGGGCCCAGCGATCTCCTTGGCTCGCTGGAGGTCTCCGCGAAAAGACCTCTGTGGCGGAGCTCGGGGGTAGGAGGGGGTGGGCCATGACGACGAGGACTTCAGCCGTGTTCGACGGCTCCTGGAGGTCATCGGGAGATACCCGACGTTTCTGGAGGCCTCCCGTCTTTTGATTCTGACTTTTTGTTTCTCCGAAGGTTCCGACAGTTTCAGGAGGGGGAAAATGAGGGAGAAGGGGGAAGGGGGGGGGGGGGAGCAGCAGCAGCACAGGAGGAGGAGGAGAAGGAGAAGGCGGAAGAGCGGGGTGGGGAAGAAAGAGCAGGAGGAGCAGCAGCAACAGCAGCAGCAGCATGAAGTCGGCCAACGCAGCTCTCCAGGAGCTCTACCTTGTGATGGAGCACGCGGGTCAGGCGCCGTCGGGTCAGCGCAATTGCCGCCGCCGTTGCACTCACTGTCGCCGTCATCTTCACGTTCCACTATCGTATGCATACTCATCATCGTAACCGTCGCCAGCGTTCCACAGATACGTGCGATCATCGTCGTTAGCGTCAGCGTCATCATCCTCGCCATCACCGTCATCCTCCTCGTCCTCGTCGTCATCCACCCACTCCTTACCCTTTCACCACCCCTCTCCTTCCCTCCTTAAGCATGCCTGGACCCTCCTCCTTCGTTCTTACGCTCCTTCGGCCACCACCCCCGGCTCCCTCCATCGCCCTTTCCTCCTCCTCCACCTCCTCCTCCTCCTCCTCCCTCCTCCTCCTCCTCCTCCTCCTCCTCCTCCTCCGCCTCCTCCTCCTCCTCGTATTCCTCATCCGAGGGCCCCGCCTCCCTCGTGCGCCCGAAGAGGGCCGAGGGGAAAGACGGGGCGGCCAGGACCTCCAGACCTTGGCGCGTTCGGGCCGCATCTTCTCCTCCGAGCGGGCGGTGCAGGAGCTGTTGAGGCCTCCGCGGGCGACTGGGGCTGGCGCGCGGGGGGCGGGGAGGCGGGAGGGGGCGAGGAGGAGGCGGACTTGGGGGCGGAGGGGGGGGAGTGGTGGAGGGGGAGCGACGCGGAAGGGGTGAAGGAGGGGGAAGAGGGAGGAGGGAGGTGGCCGGGTTCGGGCGATTGGGTCTTTTGCGAAGGGGCCTCGAACATGTACGCAATGGTTCGTTCAATCGTTCGTGCAGGGTGCGTACGTCGTACAATAACAGCACGTGGTTGCCACGCGCCATGCGCCGCAGGATGAACTGATACATCTTTTCGAGACCCCTTTACGAAAGACCCCCTTGTGCCCGGAGCCAAGGGGCCAGGGGGGGTCGATGGACGGAGGAGGGAGACAGGGGAGTGAGGAAGTCGGAGGCGGCTCCTCCTCCTCCTCCTCCTCCTCCTCCTCCTCCTCCTCCTCCTCCTCCTCCTCCACTTCCTCCTCCACTTCCTCCTCCTCCTCCTCCTCCTCCTCCTCCTCCTCCTCCTCCTGGTCCTCCTCCTCCCCCTCCTCCTCTTCCTCCTCCTCCTAGTCCTCCCCCTCCCCCTCCTCCTCCACCTCCTCCTCCTCCGCCTCCCCCTCCTCCTCCTTCCTCCTCCTCCTCCTCCTCCTCCTCCTCCTCCCTCCTCCTCCCCTCCTCCTCCTCCTCCTCCTCCACCTCCTCCCCTCCTCCTCCTCTTCCTCCTCCTCCTCCTCCTCCTCCTCCTCCTCCTTCCTCTTCCTCCTCCTCCTCCTCCTCTCCTCTCCTCCTCCTCCTCCTCCCCTCCTCCCCCTCCTCCTCCCCATCCTCCTCCTCCTCCTTCTCCTCCTCCTCCTCCTCTTCCTCCTCCTCCTCCTCTTCCTGCTTGGTCCTCGAACCTCGGTGCCGGGACCTCGATGTCGGGGGAGAGGGGGGAGACGGAGGGGGTCATCGTCTTCGTCCTCGCCGCCGACGTCGAGCCGCCTCAGCCCGCGCGAGGGATCTCATGCTCGGCCTGAGCCACCTGCACACCTCGGGCGTCTTCCACCGCGAGCCGCTGGGGCTCCCGCCACAGAGCCGAGTGTCCGCGGTTCGGTCGATTCGGCCACGTCGCAGTCGGTTGCGTTCGGTCGGCTCGGTTCGGTCGGTCGATGTACTGTTGTTGCGTCGCTGCGCCCTTCGAGGTTGCTTGCGGCCTCTCGGTTTCTATTTCGATGTCGAATCGGCCGCTTTTCGTCGGTGATGCCGCCGTGGACGGCCATGGGAGGGGAGGCAAGCTAGGCGTACTCGCGCCACATCTGGCATACTCTTCCTTCCGCCCATGCCTTCCCATTGCACTGCGTCCTGCTATCTGCCGGCTGGAGTGTCCTAGGGGATCCACATCTGGCAGGTGCAGGGTTTGACCCATCGATCTCTGCCCAATCGGAAAGGAGTCTTGGGCACATGGTACACCTCAAGGGAAAACTAGGAGGAGATGAATACGAAGCCTTCCTCTTCACTAGAAGAAGCACCCCGCTTGAATGACCAGCGCCATATGGGCCTGCCATGTTGGCGAGGGCTTCTTTTTGAACAAGACATGGCTTGCATCTTTCTGGCCCGTAACAAGAAATTCCAAACATAGCATCATAAAGTTCAGCGGGATGCCCTGCGATATCCCTTATCGAAGAAGGGCCACCCACCCACCCTCCCATATGATAGTAGCGCATGGCCATGAAATTCGAGGACGTCGTGCATGTTGAAAAGAGGCCGCCCTATATCCGTGTAGTGTGTTACGGAATGGCCTTCGGCCCATCCAGCCATCGAGCCAGGGTTGTAGGTATGAAGCCTATTGGATGTTCGCTGGGATCTCGCGGGGGGGCCTTTCGGGGGCCTCTTGGAGGCAGTTTCGATGCATCCTGGGTTCCTCTTGGGCGCCTCTTGGGGTCTCCTGGGGGCCTCTTGGGGAGGAAGGCTCGGAGTTTAAATTCGTGTTACCTCTCTTGGACCCCTTTCGGGGCCGTCTTGGGGCCCTCTTGGGCCGTCCTGGGCGCATCTTGGGCCGTCTTGTGGCGCTCTTGGGCCGTCTTGGGGCCCTCTTGGAGGCATCTTGGGCCGTCTTGGTTGGGTGATCTTTGGGGCCTCTTCGGCCGTCGTGGAGCGTCGGAAAGCAGAAAGGGCGAGAACGCCACAATCCGTCAAACACCTCAGGGCAATCAATGATGTTTGCCTCTTGGGGCCCTCTTGGGAAGCCTCTTGGAGGCCTCTTGGGGCCTCCAAGAGGCCTCTTGGGCCTTCTTGGTGCCATCTTGGGCGTATTGGAATGATCTATCGGCGGCTCTGAGCCCTCTTGGACAATCTTAGGGGCCCTTTGGGGTCCTCTTGGCCCGTCTTGGGGCCCTCTTGGCTTTGGATAAGGCGCGCGACAAGACGCGAGAAGCCCTGGCAGATTTAAGAGAGAGGGGTCCAGGTCCCTTAAATGATCCTCAGGAGTGAGGAGTGAGGCCCAGGGGATCAGGCAAAGGACCGGAAGACACTCCCTTTCCGTGCTCAAGGGCACGGTGGCAAACTTATAGTTTCACAAAAATGCAGCCCTCCACCATCTGAAAGGGATGCCGTTCTTTTGGGCGAGCGTGCGCGGCGCCTAGGCGAGAGCCCTATTTGGAAAGCGGTACCAGCTCCATCCTTGGAAATGTTGTAAAAGTTGCAGGCGGATGTGCGCGGCGCGACAGCGAGAGCCCTTCCTTGAAAGCGACACCCCCATCCACCCGTGAAGCCGCTGCAGTCCTGTGCGGCGGATGCGCGCGGCGCGAAGGTGGAAGCTCTACACCTTAGGCGATGCTTAAGAAAACTTAAGTTGTCTGCCAGAGTCTCGATTATTCTTAACGTTTTTATGTAAATCTTAAGATGTTAATAGACATGTTGGGTTTTTATTCAAGTTCTGAGACTATGAATTTCTTAACCCATGATTTCTTAAGCATTTCGCAGGGTGTAGTTTGAAAAGGTGTTGGCCTACATTCTTGAAGTTGATGCGGATCTCTGACACGAAAGTGCGCGGCACCCAGGCGAGAGCCACGTCTTGAAAACATCAAGCACGGCAATCTGTGAAGCGACTGCACGAGTCAAGGTGCATACGCGATGCGCTGAGGCGAGGGCCCTACTTTGAAAAGGGGCCGCCCTAGACTTTTGAACAAGGTGCGGCTGTTTGAGAGGAATGTGTGCGGCGTTCTGCCGAGAGCCTTCTTCTGAAAGCGATACTCCATTCACCCCTGGAGCTGCGGTACGCTTTTTCGACGAATGCGCGCTGCGCTAAGGCGAATGACTTAGTTAGAAAATGACACCCCTTCCATCTCTGAAACTGCTTACGCGTTTAGCGCGAATACGCTCGGCGCCAAGGCGACAGTCCCGTTTTGAAAAGGAGACGCCCGACATCCTTGAAGATGATTCTATTCACGTGAATTCTTCACTTGAAGAGAAAAAAGCCCCCATCTTTGCAGCCAGTGCAAGATTTCAAGACGCATGTGCGAGCTGCTAGAGCGAGAGCCCTGATTTTGGAATGAGCCGCCCTACATGTTTGAAAGTGGTGCAGTCATCATTTGAGACAGCTGCGCGCCGCGCTGGGGGGAGAGCCCCGTGTCGAAAACCACCGGTGCTCCATCTCTGAAGCTGCTACAACATCTTGAACGAACGTGTGCGGCGCGAAGGCGAGAGCTCAGCTGTGAACATACCTTTCAATCAATGGAGCTGTTGCGAGATTTGAAGGCGAAGGTGCGCGGCGCTACGGACAGATGTCCGCTCCAAACTTGGAGCTGCTTTGGATTTGAAGATTCGTTCTCGTAATTGGCGAGGACGTCTCAGGCGAAACACCTGGCCCGCCCTACCGATACGTCTGGGATTGCGATTGAAAAAATACTTACATGGACAACGGATTGGGAAAAAATGAAGATGATGAGGGGGAGAAGCAGGAGCAGGAGCAGAAGGAACAGAAGATTCAGGTGAAGGCGAAGGGGGGAAATGAGGGGACGGCAACGAAGAAATAATCGGGTCCAGCGTTGTGGCCCGCGCTGGGGTAGGAGCGCCATTCCAAACGACGGGGGCAACACACCGATACTGAAATACATCAAGGCTGCAGCGGCAGCATCATGCTTGAAGGACCGAAGGCGTTCCGATTTGAAAACGCACGTACGAAGCAGAATCGAATGAGGTTTTGCTCATGCGGATTCATGACGCAGGGGAGGCGGCGCTGCCGCTGGAGTGAGGGGAGGGGGGGGAAGCAGAATTCAGAGTGGGCAATTGTAGGTGGAAGGGGAGGGGATGAGGAGGGAAGAGGGAGGAGAAGGAGGAGAGTGAAGAGGACGAGGAGGAAGCACGAGGAGAGGAAAGGAGGGAGGAGGGAGAAGGGAGGCGGCACGTGGCAGACAGCGGGTGTATTGGGCACCTTGGGCACGATGGCCCAGGCGTGTTTTTGAAGCACGCGGTGACCGGCAGGGCCA